AAAAAAATAAAATAAAATTTTTGAAGGCAAATTCTTTGTAGATGGCACCTCTCTCACTTAACTCTGACCATCCTGCTTTTCTAAGGTCAAGTAGAATCTGGTTCCTCTCTTCTGTCTTCAACAGCTGAGAATCTGAGGACTCGGCCTCCAGGGTCTGGCTCCAGCACCCAGAACCCCCTCGAGAGACTGCATAAAGAGTTTTCAAGGCATGAATAATTCCTGTGTGGGTGTGCTCACCTTTCACCTGAGCGGCTAGGCACCCCCTGACCACATCAAGAGGGCAGGTACAGATAACTACCGTCATGCCTGCCAAGGATCCAGCCATTAATCTGTGTACATGACCAGAAATTCCTGGCTCAAATAACATAAAATGAATTGCGCCGTAGGGAAAAATTAGAATTATCATGGCACCATTGCCTTTATACAGTCCAAGGCATCCTTCCTTTCAAGGAACAGAACAATGCAGAAAATACTTCTAAATGCTTGTCATGGTAATTATGAGCTTGTGATAAAGCCTTTACTGGATCCAAAGGAGCAACCGTTGTTTTAGCACAGCATCCAGCAATACCTCCGGCCAGGAAGGAGCACAGCCAGTAGAAGTCTCGCCCACAGGGGGGGTGTATCCTCCGACCCCTGCCGCCTGCAGTGTGGCAGGAGGGTGATGGGATGCTGCCAGGGGCGCTGCCACAGCCACCATGACGAAGCCACATTAGGAGGCTCGGGTGCCAGCTTACAAAGCACAGATGAGGACCATAGTTGGGGTGAGCAACGTCAGGGCCAGAAAATAACAAATCTTAAAAATGGATCAAAAATAATGAATATCGGTAGCACCTCTGGGGGTGGCGCCGTGCCCTGGGGGGCTCGGTAAGTGGCGCTGCGTGCGGGTCTCGCGAGGGCTCTGGTGGGGCTTCTGGGAGCCCTTGGGACGTCGCTCTGTCCCGGTCGTGGGCCTCCACGGTACAAAGTTCTGTTGCCGCATCTCTTGAGTTCCTGCGCGCTGTGAGGCGGCGCACGCGTGGACGGAGAGTTAACAAGCAACGACGCTTCAGAGCCAGGCATAAGCCGCCCGAGGGCCAACGAACGACCGTTTTGCTGTTTGTTTGGAAAAAAAAGGATGCGTATATGCAACCACCACACGGCAAAAACGCTGGATGTTAAATTGTTTACAATTCTCTTGGGTGGTGGGAATAGAGATGATGATTTATACTCACGTATGCTCGTTTTTCTTGTAGTAAGCACGATATTTTGTCAGAAAAGAATCCGAAATAAATCGTATTTCAATTGTGATGGGTGCTGTTAAGGGAGCCCCACACCAGGCTAGGGGTTTGGGAATGAGGAGTGTTTCGTGCATTGCACACAGATTTAACCGGAAGTGAAGACGAAGTTAGGGTGCACGTTGAGAAGATTGCCCTGGTTTCTCAGCATGCCTGAAAAAGTTGAGGGCCAAGTAGGAGGATTGTTTCATCCCGTGCAATGCCAATCGTCTTGGCACAGGCAGCCTTAATTGTAAGGCCCTCCCTCACCAGTATCAAGTTTCTCTTTATACATAATTGTTTCTATAAGTGTTTATCCTGTTGCTTCAGGAAAAAGCAAAATTCCTGTAATATAAATTAGTCAAAGTCCATACAAGTCCACAGATTAAAAGGCTTACCAACCATGAAAACTTGTTTGTAGTCTATTCATTATCATTGACCAGTAGATCGCTAGTAATGTAAATATTTAAAAAATATTAACCGATTATATTAATATCTTGTACACTGGAAGGTCTTTTCTACATGAAATTTGCAAAGAACTGCCATTGTTTTGCTTTTAGGAGGACCAGTTCCCTTCAGCAGGAGAAACAAGAATCCTTGGGTGACAAGTTTGTATCTGTGTATTCAAAATGGTTAGGATAGATATATAGTTACATTCTCTTAATGAATAGCGAGATTTGTTCTAATGGTGTTTGTAAATAGGATATCATGTCCGCATCTTGTACAGCAAATAATCACTAGGAAGAATGTATGCAATGTGTTAATTATTGAAAACAATTTGGTTTGAAACTGTCATTGCTATTTGTTTCTCAGTAAAATTATGCAAAAAAAAAATAATGAATATCACAAAATGTTAGAAAATAGCAATATCTGCATTCATTGCTTCCTGACACATCCCCATAATGCTTGTCTTCTACACACCTGGCTGCATGTTCTCGGATCCACCTTGTAACATCATTTTCTGTAGAAGAGGAGCTCTGATGCTTGTGCATGTTCAGGGCATGAGTCCCCATGACCCATTGCATGAGTCAGAGGCTCCAGGCTGAGCCTGGGCACTGCCAGCCGCTGCCCTTCCCCCAGTGTTTCTAACATGCAGCCAGAGCCAAGGGCACTGCTTGGCCAGATCCCAGCTAAGACTTTCTCTGAGCCACAGAAGTATGGCACACAGTGGCTGAGCAGGACAGGGAGCTAAAGCCTGGGGCAACATGCAGCTTTGGGGCCCAGAAAAGCCACATTTGGTGCAGAGGATGTTTAAGGGAGCTGGGAGCCTTAGGTTGCTGTCTTCCCTCGAGTGGGGTGAATCTGGGCTCTCCCACCCCCTCGCCATGCCTCAGTGGTTCCTCCACATGGAGCTCGTCTCAAGGCAGAAGCAGAGCCATGGAGGAGGGACTCACAGGGCTTAAACAGTTCCACCCTGGGGCACACGAGTGGCACAAATGACCACAAAAATGAACAGAGCATCTCATTAGCAGTCAAACTACATTCCCTTTTTCCTGAAATCCATTAATGTACTTTTTGTCTCTATGAATGTGCCTATTTTGAACATTTTATACAAGGAAAACCATACAATGTGTGACCTTTTATCAATGGATTCTTTTCCATAGTATCATGTTTTAGGGGTTTGTGCATTTTTTTTTTTCTTTCTTGTCCATAAAGGTTTTATCACGCAGAGAGGAGAGAAGGGGCCTGGACAGCTTCATTCCTCATGGTGACCAGGATGTTTCTCAGCACCCTTGGTTCTTTTGGCATAGACGTGTGTCCCCATCCCTTGTCTGAGGAACATGAGGGTCAGTGTGTACTTGGAGACCTGGAGCGGCTCCATGGCACACCGCTTATATGGGACACAGCGCCACAGCTCTGGGATCCAGGCCAGCACTGACTTGGGGCGCTTTGGGAGGCACCAGCAGAGCTGCCTGTGCCTCAGCTTGCTCTTGTTCTTTGTACCCTTATGCCCCTTTCTGAGGTCTACAGCTGTGGGGTCACTCAAACCCACGGCTGCTGCTCTTTGATGTCTGCTCAGGCCTTCATTTTTTATTATCAAATAATTTATAAGCCATGAATGCCCCATATTTTCTTTATCCTTTCATAAGTAGATGGGCATTTGGGCTGTTTCTCTTTGGGGACCATTACAGATAGCGCTTTCACTGGCTGCTTGCGCTCCATCTGCCGTCATTTCCCCAAAGGTACCCCACAGAACCTTGGCTGCCATGCCCTCTCGGGCTGACCAGACAAACCTCTTCACAAGTGCCAGTTCGGATTCTCCTCAGGCTTCTCCTCTCCAGACACCTGCCCTTTGAGGGAACCAGAGCCCATGTTCAACTTTCCTTTATTGTCCTAAGTCAAGTTCTCCCCACGCTCGCCCCATCAGGTATTCTCCAGTACCATGAACTTCAAAGTAAGAGGATAGAGTCACTTTCTCAGGTCTCCTTGGCATGTCTTCTGTGAATAGTCAGACTATTTGCATCATCCAGGTGTCATCTAATTTTATCTACCAACTCTCTCCACACTCAAGCATCCCCCAAGCTGTGGCTACTACCATCAGCATAATGCTCTGGTAGTTGCCTGGCATCCACAAAGCTCAAGGAGCCACTTGAGATGTTAACCCTTGACCTCAAATTGGACCCCAAAGGAATTTCCAATTTCCACAGCAGAAGGAAATACTGGTAGTCCTCAATCCAGAACAGTCCCAGCTTCACCGATCTTAAGATCCAGGCTCCTCCCCTGGTCCAAGGGGTCTGCCTTGAGCGTCTGACTGTGCTGAGTGGGAGGAAGGCCAGCTGGTGGAGGTAGAGCCTGAGACTGGGCCCCAGAACTGGCGAGGCCAGAGCCTCAACTTCTGTAAACACTGTAAAGAAAGCTCAAGCTAAGGTGACCAACACATCCTGCTTTAACCAGGACTTTCCCCACTCAGCAATGAAAGTCCCTATTTAGGGAAAACCCTCTGACCAGTGCAGGCTCATGGTACACTTGAACCACAGCACTGGTGAAAAACTGAAATACAGGAGGTTGGGGAGAGTGCCATGTGATCCAGGCTCTGGGGAGGATGACAGGAAACCAGCCCGCTGTGTATTGTTTCTGAGGTTAGTGCCTCCAGTAAGTAATTAGGCAATCATTCCAGGATGGCGACTTGTCCACACTTGCAAGCGTAGTGTGTAACAAATCCTTGAAGGGAGGGATGCAGAATCCAGTAAGTGGTAGCGCTGGCATCATTGTTCATTGTTGGTTTAATTATTTCATAAAATGCACGTAACACACATCAGCTACATCAGTTCAGTGGCAGTAATTATACATGCATGGTGTTGCACCACTACCCCAGCATTATGGTGTCGTGCTTGGAATCTGTACCTAGTTCCAAAAACCTTTCATCATCATAAAAAGGAGTTCCCCACCCTTTAACAGTCTCTTCTCATTTTTTCCTTCTCCCAGCCCCTGGCAAGCACCCATCTATTTCCTGTCTCCCTGGTTTATTCCAGGCATTTCATGTAAATGGGGTCACACGATATGTGTCCTCTAGTGTCTAGCTTCTTTAGCTCAGCGTGCTTTCTGGGTTTGTCTTTGGTACTTACCCAACACTTGCAATATCTAGCACCTGCAAATTATAAGAGGAAGGATTTATTTTGGCTCATAGTTTTTTTTTAATTATTTATTTATTTTAACATTTATTGTGTGTGTGGGGGGGGGCCAGCTCAGCCCACCAGGGGGCACGGCTGGCTGGCATGTGGTGCTGGGGGATCGAACCGCGGTCCCTGTGCTTTGCCAAGCTTGTTGCAAGTAGGTGCTTTAGACCACTGAGCCATCTCTCCAGCCCTTGGCTCATAGTTTGTAGTGATTTCTCCAAGGTAGGATGGCATGGCAGAGGAATAATTCCTCAACTCCTAGCACTCAGGAAGGAGACAGCAAATGGGGGAGCAGGGAGGAAGATAAACCCTTCCAGGCCATGCCCCATGAACCCCTCTTCCACAAGACCCCACCTTCTAACAGAAAGTCAGCTATAAATCCCTGTAATCCAATTGCCTTCCAAACACCCTGCCTGTGACTACACTGAGGCTCTTGGGAGACTTCTAGATACAAAGAGTACTAAGCTTCATCTGTATCATAGCAAGTATCAGCACTCTGCCCCTTTTTGAGGCTGAATAATATTCGACAGCATTAC